GGGGTGAGAAAGATGCTGGTGAGAGGAAGATGATGTGGGCAGGGGTCGCTGGCCCCTTGCCCTACAAGTAGGGCAGGCCCAGACTGTTGCCATCAGGCAATGATCGGGCGGTGTTTGGCTGCCATTCAGGCCTCCCCTTACACTGCGTCCTGGCCCTACGTGGTGTAATGTGGAGCTGATAAAAATGGGCTGTCAGGACTGCTGAGCTGAGCGATCCTCATCCTGCCACCGAGCCTGTGTTGCTCCGCGGGGACGCCCGCTAAGGGATGGGCACCGACCAGCTGCTGCAGATCCTGACAGCCCTGGCCTGTCTGTGTGGGTAGGCAGAGTTTAGTGATGGGAAGCCACCGAGAGGGAAGACTTTAAATATCCTTTAGTGTTCCTTTAATACCCTTTATTTAGTACTCATAATATTTTCCCTTTAATGTCCCCTTTTACTAACCAAATAGCGTGTCAGTAGTTACCCATAATATTGTGTGAAGATCCTTTTTGGTATCCCTTTGACTCCCTTTTTACTAGTTAATTTTAGACTGTATTGAATGCTGTTCTTAGTATTTGTTTTAATGCCACATGATAAGGTAGTTCATTTGTATCCTTTTTGAACTTTTGATTCTCTTTGCTAAGTTTATTCTTCTTCTTCTCACTGCAATAAAGATATTTTGTGTGTTTGAATGTTTGTGGCACTTGTCTTTATTCCGGGCATGTATCCCAACGAACTGTTCCAGGTAGGAAGGAAGTGCCCTTAGGATTTGGGAATAGGAAGTTACTGGAAGCCAGCCCAAGATCGACCCTGTTGGAGAAGTGGCTCTGAGTACGTTATTGGGCTTTAGTGGGAACAACAAATGATAAGAGGGCCTGAAGTCCCCCTAAGGCCTTGGGTCAAAAGCTCCTCCAGGGTGCACAGGCCAGGCCATGCTCAGGAAGGCAGCCCCATGAAATGGAGATGGTGTATCCGAGCCAGAGCCAGAGCAGGGGTCGGGGCAGGAGCGAGGCCTCGTGAGGGAGTTGCCAACGGCCCTGTGGTTTAAGCAACAGGTGTAGATCCCCTGGACAGTGAGCACAAATCACTGGGGCAATGGGGCAAAGCCCCAAAGCAAGTGCTGGGAGAAGAGAGGGAGCATGCATGGCTCACTGCTGGGTCAGCCAAATCTATCAGGGGGAGGCACTTTTGGAAAGCAGGAGCAGATAACCCGTGCCAGAGTCACGACGGGGGGAGGCAAAAGTAGTCCATGCCATAGTGTGTATATTGTAATACAAAGAAATAAGGCACAGAATGACTTAATGGGTACCAATGAACTGATCTGGAGGACTGTATTCCCATCCTGGATTGCAAAAATTAACTGGCTGTTGTCTCCTGAATTGCTGCAGTGCACCGACTGATATCGTGCTGGAAAAATAACACACTTCAATGTAAGTAAACCAGGGATTTTTGTATGTAAGTGCAAATTATTGCCCTGCAAATTTGAAATAAGACTTGACTTGATCACCAAATGCAAACAGTAACTCTAGGGGTCAATTAGTGAGCTTTGGGCATCAGGTTAGAACAGCTCACTGCTCCCCACTGCTGGGACATATTTACAGGATTCTCACCACCTGCTACAAAGTTTTGGAACACTTTAATCCATCCACTAATCCCAGTAATTATTGTACTGACTTTATGAACAACAGAGTTGCTGTCTCTAGGATCAATGCCAGGAAGGTGCTTCTCCCGTGTCTCTGCCCTGCCCAGGGCTCAAAGGACCAAAGGAAAGGATGAGAAGTTGGCTGCGAATTGAGCCCCGGGGCTGCTGCCCCTGAGGAGCAGGGTAAGGGCTGTGTGTGCTCAGGGGCCCTGGCTAAAGGCTGCAGGTGCTGTGAGTGTGTGCTGGGCCAAGGCAGCAAAGGTGTGTGCAGCTGTTCCGTGCCCTCTCCCCTTGGCCCCGCCGGGGCGCCTGCCCAGCGCTCCAGGGGTGGCCAACGGGGAGCTCAGGCCAACCTGCCCGTGGCCACGGCCCCACAGTGCCAGGCCTGGCCTAAAGCCGGCTTGGTTGGGCAGAGCCTGGCCAGCGGGATCCCCTTGGAGCCGCCCCGCAGCCTCCCCGGGGGTGGAGGCACCCGCAGGAATTGTCCCAGTGCTGGAGCCTGCGGGATCGGCTGCCCCGGGGCTGCCGTGTGGGCTGGGGGGGAGCGGGAGGGGCCGTGGGGGAGGGATTTCTGCTGAGCCACAGTTCTGTCTCTGGGGCAGTCAGCATGGGATGCCTTGCTCCTTTCCTTTTGTATCCCCGAAATCTGTATCCCATGTGTTGGATTGGGTTTGTTTAAGCTGTTCCTATTCTTCCATGACTGGTGGGAAGTTGTTTCCTGGAGTGCCCTGCCTGTCAGCAAAACACCAGGCCCAAAGGATCCTGCAGGTGCAGCCCTGGAAGAGTCAGGAAGACTCAAAAATGCACCAGTTCTCAGGAAGTACAAGTTTGTAAAACATTTATGGAGCTAAAATTCCACAGCCTTGAGCTGTTGGGTCCCAAATAATATTGGAGGGAGAGGCAGAAAATGCCACTGCTGCTGGGGCTGAACTGTCTGCAGTGATGGGGCAGGACTTGGCCCTGATGCCTGAGTGCATCTTTAGGATGGATCCCAACTGTCAGCCCCTGGCTCCATAACTTGAGTAGATGGTGTTCCTGCAAGCCCAGCTGCTGTGTTGGTGGTGCTGTGGGCACCTCCTGCCCTGGCCTGCTGTGACTGTGTTTGTGTTGCAGCTCAATAAAGTCCCTTTCAGTGGTGATTGTGTCATTTTGTGTCAGTTCCTTTCCCCTGCCCCAGTGGCTGCATCACTGGCTTGTGCCTAAATGAACTCTTCCCCTGCAGCAGTTCCCTGCTGCTCTCAGAGAGGGTGGAGCTGAGGCCCCTGAGCCAAGGGAAAAAGGATCCATCCAAGGCCCGTGCTCCCCCCCTGCATTCCTCCAGCCTCCCGTGGTTCCAGTTCCCCTCCCTGCTGGACACACAGCCTGTTCCCAAACAACCCCTGTTCCTGTTCTCTCTCTGTGTCTCCCCTCACAACTCCCCTCCTATGATCTCCAGCTGCCCAGGCCCCTGGTTTTGAGGGGCATTCCTGGGCTGCTGCCCCCCCATTCCTTAGAACTGAAGTGCCAAGAGCCCCAAGTGCAGAGAGGTCTGCAGGGAATCAGTGCCAACAGCTGCCCATGCCTGCCTGTGATCCTGCAGTTCTCCTTCCTCTTCTCCCTGGGCTGGAGAGACCTGCCTGCCCCGGGTTTATTGGAGCAGAGGGATGTGATTACATTTGTCCAGAAGGTGTACATGTCACAGACACTTGTTTTCTGACAGGCAGTGCCATTTCCCTTCTGCCTTTCCCAAGTTTTCCCAAGTGCTGCCCAGCACGGGGATCCGTGTGCTGGGACAGTGACTGGCAGGAGGAAGGGGAGCCTTGGCCTCACCTGCCCAGCTCAGGTGGGTGGCACAGAATGGGGGTGGGCTGGCAAGGCATGAACACATTTCTGAGTTCTGGAGTGCCATGAGACCTTTTCCTATCAGGTTTCTTTCCCCGATTTCCTGGAGTCCATCATCCCAAATGTCTCTTCCTTTGTCCAAAGCCCAATGGCAGAGGATTGACTGAGTCCCAAGGGAGGTTTGGAATGAAAAGGGTTCTGTTCAAATGGGACAAGGAATGCAGTAAGAAAGATGAGCCTCCTTTTAATGCCTGAAACAGATAGGAATGGAAATGCTGGAAAAGGTCTCATTTATTTGTTGTCCCCCCTGGATTTTTCATGACTAAAACTCTCTAGTGAGCAACTGAACAGAAGAGTGAAGGGCAGGAGCCTTTGACTTGCCCAGCGCCCTTAATTGCCTTGTTCTCCTCTCTTCCAGGCCAGGCCAAAGCCCTGATCCAGCCCAGCTCTGCCAAGTGCCCTGGGCTGGGAGCAGCCAAAGGCAAGAGGCTGCAGCCCCGCCGGCCGGGCTGGGGGCTCCTGGTGCTGCCCGTGGGGTGGGGTAAGTCAGAGGGACACCTTTCTCTCCTCCTGCTGTTGGCATTTGCTCCCTGGGCACTGGAGGTGTAAGGAAGGACGGAGTAGCAGGGAAGGGGAGTGTTTCCAGACTGTCTGAATGTTGTCCCCGGGTTTGGGATGGAGCAGCCATGGGGGTGGTTGGGTTTGGCCTGGGCTGGTCAGGATCAGCCATAAAGGACACACCAGACCCCTGAACCCTCACTGGACATGTCCAGCCCCTCAAGTCATTAATTTTCAATAGAGGACAAAGTATTGGTACTTGCTTCTGATCTGTGGAGAATTTCCTTTGGAATGATCAACCAGAGAGTGTATCAGTGCAAAGCATCTCTTTGGGTCTTCTGTTTGTTTGTTTGTTTGTTTGTAATTTCCTCTCTGGCTTCAATGAGTTTGGTGTGCTCCTGTTAAGGAAGCAGCCTGTTTTTATCTTGAAATTTGGGGTGGTTTGGTTTGTTTAGGGTTTTTTCCCCCCACTGACTCGGCCTTCCGTGCATAGTCCATGTTGTCCCACAGGACTGCTTTGGTTCTGGGTCAGAGAGAGAGAAGGGAAGTGGCTTTTCCTCATCTGGAATGTTTCCAAGCAGAAGTGGGACATTGTCTTGCCCCTCCCCAAAGCACTGCAGGCACCTGGGAGTAGCTCAGGGCTGGTCCAGTTCTCTGAGACAGAACCATGGGGGAGAGGTTTAAGTATTAATCACATCTCTGGTGTCCCTTGGTTGCAAAGATTGGGTCCTACAGTCCCAGGGTGTTAAGGAAAACAAGGAACTCCTGTTCTTCCTGGCAAACCTTCTGTTATTGCTTGTGCAGTGTTTGGGTTCTGTTGTCTGAGTTCCTGTCCAGGATCTTTCGAAGAGAACCTGTTAGAAATTTAGAGGTAGGATTAGAATTTGGGTCTGTTACCTACCAAACTCCCCCCAAATCCTGATGGACTGGAGTGATGAGTGCTCTCAGCCCAGGGTATTTCTTACTATTGTGTGGCTTTCCCTCAGCTGTGGGTGAGGAATTGTGCAGGCAAGGCCTGTGTGCCCGTGGATGTCTCCCGTGTGTGTCCGTGTGGCAGGGCTGGGACAAGGACTCGTGCAGGGACCGAGCTGGCACTGGAGCTGCTGCCATCCTGAGCCACTGCCAAGGGCTGGGGAGAGACCATCTGGGAGGCTGTTGCCAGGGTTCCATTGGGAGCTGGATCTCCCTCCAGCTGCAGCAGCCAGGGGAGGGTTCTTCCTTGTGCAGCCCAGTGGCTTCTGCTCAGGCTGGCCCAGAGTGGGGCTGGGGCAGGTTCTCCAGGGAACTGGAGCCAGCCCTGAACGGGGCTCTGGAGAGCAGGAGCTGCAGGGACTGAGGTTTGCAAAGCTGGGCTGAAGTTTGTCAAAGCAGCAGAACATTCTCATTCCTGTGGGTCTGTGGAGTCCGTGTTGGTGCCCAGGAGAACTGGGTCAGACTGGGCTTTGTGCTCCGAGAGCTGCCCCCCTAAATGTGGCAGGCTGTGTGTGCTGGCAAGGAAGTGCTGTCCCAGAGGCTGATGGTTTCTGTCTCCAGGTGTGCCCAGGACACTGCCAATGCCCAGGGATCTGCTCTGGGTCCAGACTGTCCGTGCTGGAGGGCCCTGGTGGCTGCAGTCCCTGAGCCCGCAGAGACAGAGAGAGCCCCGGCCCGAGTGGCCTTTGGCCCCTTGTCCTGAATTTGGGGTGAGCCTGGGAGCGTGTGGAGGGTGAGAATGAGGGCTGTGCTTCCAATGCATCATCCCTGGGAAGATCCTGTTGTTCCAGAGCGCTGGGGACAGTTTGGGCTTGGCAGCTTCAGAGCTGGGTTGGAGCAGCCCCTGGAAAGAATCAGGAGAGTGGAGTTTTGTCCCAGTGCTGCTTTCACGCCCCACTGGACAGTCTGGGCTTTGTGTTTGAGGTTGTCCTGTATTTGCTCTGCAGATAATGGGCCCTTCCCAATTCAGCCCAGCAGATTCCAAGGGCTCTGACAGGAATATTTGTTCTTTCCTTCCCTTTGGGAGAACTTCATCTCCAAACTGCCATGAGCAATTCCTTAATTTCTGCTGGAGAAAACCAAGTGTCAGAGGCAGTTTCCAAGGAAGCCAGAAGTGTCTTTGGGGCAGAGAGTGCTGCCAGCTGCGTGTGCCTGTCCCCAGCCTGGCACTGCCCACAGGGACACACTGGGCACAGACCATGAGAGGGAACAAACCCACTGCCTGCCAGAGGGTTTGTCCTGGGCCAGTCAGGCCTTGGGCAGAAATTGGACTGGGCAACTCCATCAGCTGCTCTTCCCCCACAAAGCCCCATCCCCTGGGCATTAATGACGTGCCCTGTGCCCAGCGCTCACTGTTCACCCAACTGAAACCAGAGCAAGGCTTGCTTTGCTTGGAACGACTTATAGTAACTTTAAAACAAAATAAATCACTTTTTTTGTTCTTTTTTTTCCTTTTAGATGCTGGAATTGCCTCTCTGGGTGTGTGCTGAGCTCTGGCTGCAGGGGACTGTCAGGCCTTGGTGGCTGTGAGTTCCTGTTCTTCTCCCTGGGAAACTGGAAAGAGTTATTCATTGGATTGCAGAAATGTTTTCTGAAGCCTGTCCCCTTCTTTGTGCCTTTTGCTGACAGACCTTCTCTTTCTGCCTTTGCATGTACAGCTGTTCCCTGCTGTCCATTCCCTGGCCTGAATTCCTTGCAGCTCCCAGCTGGGGAAACCTGGGATAACATGGCAGGGACAGAGGTGACATTTGTAGCTGCCAACTTGGGGTAATTTCGAAGGGACCCAACAACTGTTTCTGAAGGAAAAGGTGAGGTGCTGCAGAGGGGAGGGAGGTGGCATTTTGGAGGGGTCCCACTGAGGGGGGAGTGGAGAGCCTGGGGCTGGAGTGTGAGTTATTAAACAGGGAAGAAGAGAAGGATGCTTGGGAGGGAAACACTCAGGGAATGTGTAGGGATGGAATGGAAACTTGGGGCGTCAGGAAGAGAAAATGGGTGATGTAGAGGAAGGGAAATGTTGGGTGTAAGAGTTGATCTCATCTGTAGAGAACAGAATGACCATTTAGAGATAAAGTGAGGCAGTCAGTGGTGGGCAGGTAGGGAAAATTTCTGTTGCTAAAATCAGAGATGATGTGGAGCAGAGAGGATGTACCTCCTGATGGACACTGAGGCAGTCAACAGTGGGCAGGAAAGGAAACCTTTGGGGGTAAAACTTGAGGTAACATCCAGGGCAGAGAATGAATATTTTGAAGGATAAATGAGGTACTCAGTGGTGGACAGCTGGGGAGTGTTTTAGGGTAAACTTGGGGTAGCCCACAGAGTAGAGAATGAACATGTATTTGTACAGAGGAGCTGATTACATGTAGGTAGGTAAGGAGAATTTTGGGAGTAAAATCCGGGCAATCTGTAGCAGAGAGAATGAATACCTCGGGGTATAGTGAGGCAGTCAGTGTTGGGCAGGGAGGGAAAATTTGTGTTTGTCAAATTTGAGGTCACGTGGAGCAGAGAATGTACATCCTGAGGTAAACTGGGGTAATCATTTGTGGACTCGTAGGGAAAATTGGGGGGGAAATATCTGAGGTAATCTGCATGGTAGAGAATGAATATTGAGAGGTGAACAGGAGGTACTCAGTGGTGGACTTGTAGGGAAAATTGTGGGGGTCAAATCTGTGGCAATGTGCAGCAGAGAGAAGGAACATTTTGGAATAAAGTGAGGCAGTCAGTAGGGGAGAGGTAGGGAAATTTCTGAGTGTGAACCTTGAGCAAAACTGCAGAGCAGAGAATGAATATTTGGAGGTCCAAAAGAGGTAATCAGGAGTGTGCAGTAGGGAAGACTCTGGGGAGAGAATGACTCTTTTATGTTCAAAAAGAGGTAATCAGGAGTGGGCTGAAAGGGGAAAGTTTGGGGGTTAAGAAGGAGGTTGATTCTCTGCAGGGCAGGGAATGAACACACTGAGGTAACCTGAGGTGATGAGTGGTGAGAGACACAGAAAACTGGGGGTGTTAAAGTTCAGGTGATCTGCTGGGAAGAGAAGGAACCTGTTGAGGTAAAGATGAGGCACTCGGTGGCAGACAGGTGGGGAGAGGTTTGAGATAAGCCTGAGGTGTCTGTGGGGTGCAGAATGACCCTCTGTAGGTACAAAGGAGCTGGTCAGACGTGGACAGGTAAGGCAGATGTTGGGAGTAAAATGTGGGGCAATCTGTCCCAGAGAGAATGAATCTTTTGGGGTAAGGTGAGGCAGTCAGTAGTGGTCAGGGAGGGAAATCTTTGTTTGTCAAACCTGAGGTAATGTGCAGCAGAGAGAATGCACCACATGGGGTAAACTGGGGCAAACAGTAGTGGACGGGTAAGGAGGTTTAGGGGGAAACTTTGAGGTAATCTCTGTGGCAGAGGATGAATGTTTGAAGGTAAAAATGAAGTAATAAGTAGTTTTCAGGCAGGGAAAACTCTGAGGATAAGTCTGGATATCACCTAGAGGAGAAAAGGAGCCTTTTGAGGTGCAGTGAGGCAGTCAGGGGTGGGCTGGTAGGGAAAATTTGTGTTTGTAAAATCAGAGGTCATGTGGAGGAGAGAGAATGCACCTCCTGGGCTAAACTGGGGTAAACCTTGCGGACCTGCAGGGAAAATGTGGGGGGTAAAACTTGTGGGAATGTGCAGGGCAGAGAGTGAATCTTCTGAGGTGAAAATGAGTTCCTGGGTGGTGGAGAGGTGGGGAAAGTGTTGAGAGTGAACTGGAGGTGGTGTGCTGGGTAGAGAATGAACATCTTGATGTAGAAGTGAGTTGCTGAGATGTGGAGAGGTGGGGAAAATGCAGTGGGTGCAGTGTGAGGTGACCTGTAGCAGAGAGGATGTACCTCCTGCTGGACACTGAGGCAGTCAGGGGTGGGCAGGAGGGGAAACCTTTGGGGGTAAAACCTGAGGAAACGTCCAGGGCAGAGACTGAATATTTTGAAGGTTAAAACTTTGGGGGTTTTGAACGAGGTTATCTCCAGGGGAGAGAAAGGACATCATGAGGTCAACTGAGGTAATCAGTGGTGGCCAGGTGGGGACATATAGGGCAGAAATCTTTGAGGCAATCTCCAGGGTCCAGAATGAATCCTGAGAGGTGCAGAGGAGGCAATCAGGAGTGGACACCACAGCAGGCCAGGGAAGGTTCTGGGGGTAAAATGTGTGACAGTGTCTGGCAGAGAGAATGAACATTTTGGGATAAACTAAGGCAGTCATCAGTGGACAGGTAAGCCTTGAGAAACTCTCCAGGGTGGAGAATGAAAATATGGAGGTCAAAAGGAGGTAGTCAGTGGTGAGCAGGTGGGGAAAGTTTTAGAGTAAACTTGAGGTGATCTGTAGGGTAGAGCAGGAACATATTTAGGTATACATGAGGTGATCAGCTGTGGAGAGGTGGGGAAAATTGTGGGGGTCAAATCTGTGGCAATGTGCAGCAGAGAAGGAATATTTTGGAACAAAGTGAGGCAGTCAGTAGGGGAGAGGTAGAGGAATTTCTGAGGGTGAAACTTGAGCAAATCTGCAGGGCACAGAATGAATATTTGGAGGTCCAAAAAGAGGTAATCAGGAGTGTGCAGGTAGGGAAGACTCTGGGGGTTAAAAAGGAGGTAATCTCTAGGGGAGAGAATGACTCTTTTGTGTTCAAGGAGAGGTAATCAGGAGTGGGCTGGAAGGGGAAAGTTTGGGGGTTAAAAAGGAGGTTCATTCTCTGCAGGGCAGGGAATGAACCCATTGAGGTAAGCTGAGGTGATGAGTGGTGAGACACACAGACAATTGTGGGTGTTAAAGTTCAGGTAACCTGCTGGGAAGAGAAGGAATGTGTTGAGGTGACCTGAGGGTCTCTGCAGTGGCCAAGCAGGGAAATGTTGGGCTGAGCCCTGAGTTGCTCCCGTGTGGGGCGGCTGCAGTGAGGCCGAGCCCTGGCCCTGATTTGCCAGCCATGGGCAGGGGGCTCTGTGCCAGCCGGGGGAGCAGCGGGGCCCCTGGGGGGGCTGTGGAGCTGCCCCGGGGGGAGGGGGGGGCCTTTCCTGGGCTGCCTCCAGCCCCCCTCGATCCCCGGGGCTGCGCTGCCCCCCAAGGCTGTTTGGGCCAGAGAGTGCTGCCAGCTGCGTGTGCCTGTCCCCAGCCTGGCACTGCCCACAGGGACACACTGGGCACAGACCATGAGAGGGAACAAACCCACTGCCTGCCAGAGGGTTTGTCCTGGGCCAGTCAGGCCTTGGGCAGGAATTGGACTGGGCAACTCCATCAGCTGCTCTTCCCCCACCAAGCCCCATCCCCTGGGCATTAATGACGTGCCCTGTGCCCAGCGCTCCCTGTTCACCCAGCTGAAACCAGAGCAAGGCTTGCTTTGCTTTGAATGACTTAAAATAACTTGAAAACAAAATAAATCACTTCTGTCTTCTTTTTTTTCTTTTGGATGCTGGAATTGCCTCTCTGGCTGTGTGCTGAGCTCTGGCTGCAGGGGACTGTCAGGCCTTGGTGGCTGTAAGTTCCTTTTCTTCTCCCTGGGAAACTGGAAATAGTTATTCATTAGATTGCAGAAATGTAATTTTGAGGGGACCCAACAACTGTTTCTGAAGGAAAAGGTGAGGTGCTGCAGAGGGGAGGGAGGTGGCATTTTGGAGGGGTCCCACTGAGGGGGGAGTGGAGAGCCTGGGTCTGGAGTGTGAGTTATTAAACAGGGAAGAAGGGAAGGATGCTTGGGAGGGAAACACTCAGGGAATGTGTAGGGATGGAATGGAAATTTAGGGTGTCAGGAAGAGATAATGGGTGATGTAGAGGAAGGGAAATGTTGGGGGCAAGAGTTGATCTCATCTGTAGAGGACAGAAGGACCATTTAGAGGTAAAGTGAGGCAGTGAGTGGTGGGCAGGTCGGGAAAATTTGTGTTTGTCAAATTTCAGGTCACCTGTAGCAGAGAGGATGTACATCACGATGGACACTGAGGCAGTCAACAGTGGGCAGGATGGGGGGAAACCTTTGGGGTAAAACTTGAGGTCACGTCAGGGCAGAGAATGAATATTTTGAAGGATAAATGAGGTACTCAGTGGTGGACAGTTGGGGAGTGTTTTAGGGTAAACAGGAGGTAGCCCACAGAGTAGAGAATGAACATGTATTTGTACAGAGGAGCTGATTACATGTGGGTAGGTAAGGAGAATTTTGGGAGTAAAATCTGTAGCAGAGTGAATGAATATCTTGGTGTGAAGTGAGGCAGTCAGTGTTGGGCAGGTAGGGAAAAATTCTGTTTGTCAAATTTGAGGTCACGTGGAGCAGAGAATGTACATCCTGAGGTAAACTGGGGTAATCAGTTGTGGACTCGTAGGGAAAATTGGGGGGGAAATATCTGAGGTAATCTGCATGGTAGAGAATGAATATTGAGAGATGAACATGAGGTACTCAGTGGTGGACTTGCAGGGAAAAGTGTGGGGGTCAAATCTGTGGCAATGTGCAGCAGAGAGAAGGAACATTTTGGAATAAAGTGAGGCAGTCAGTAGGGGAGAAGCAGAGAAATTTCTGAGTGTGAAACTTGAGCAAATCTGGAGGGCAGAGAATGAATATTTGGAGGTCCAAAAGAGGTAATCAGGAGTGTGCAGTAGGGAAGATTCTGAGGGTTAAAAAGAAGGTAATCTCTAGGGTAGAGAATGACTCTTTTGTGTTCAAAAAGAGGTAATCAGGAGTGGGCTGGAAGGGGAAAGTTTGGGGGATAAAAAGGAGGTTCATTCTCTCCAGGGCAGGGAATGAACACATTGAGGTAACCTGAGGTGATGAGTGGTGAGAGACACAGATAATTGTGGGTGTTA